GAACTTTTTGGTATAGCCAGTCATCAAGTAGTTGCTTAACGGCTATCTGCAAGAGGTTTATAGGAAAAAACACCCAGTAGATGATCTTGAATCAGTAAAATCGCATATCAATTGAAGGAAATAATATAAACATGAATAAAAAATCAACAATAGTAATTAAATCATGAATTTTATTCAAAAATCAAACATTTGTTTTAATTTTGACTGAACTATATGCAATTTCTTAATATTCAATTAGCTGATGATGTTTCAATGACAAGATGTCATCTCATACTTTGACAGTATTTTGTTTTCAACATTTCATAGCTATCCGTTGCTAAAATTTATTGATTGGAACTTGAAGCTCATTCGCTGTATTTGACGGGCTGTTACCCTATAGGTGGAGAATAACGGACTGTTGTTGGTGAAATTGGCCCTAAGACTTTTAAAAGCTGTTTCATTACAGATCTCAACAAGCCGCTGAAAAATCAGAAGCTGCAAGAACAAGATCAGCACCTTCTTCATCTTCCTCTGGTAGAAATAAGAAATTAAAATAAATTCATATACTGATTTACATCATCTTTCTAAAATCTAACTATACGCCAAACCTTTCATCTTGTCATTCTTATTTCTAGTTTTGGAACATATATATATATATATATAGATATATATGTGTATATATGTATATATTTATATATATATGTATATATGTATATATGTATATATATACATATATATATATATATATATATATGTGTATATATATTTTTGTAGAATACATATATACGTACTCCTTAGAATAATTGAGTAGTGTGGACTGATTATTTTTATTTTTTTTATACTATTTCTTTACTATCAAATAGACATTAATTTACATGTAAGACATGAAAGTTGGTCATCTTAATGTTAGATCGCTTTTGTCAGGATTTTGTCTACTCCAGGATTTTGTGATATCTGAAAATTTCGATATATTTGCAGTCACTGAAACTTGGTTGAATGATGATATCGGATCTTCGGCTATCCGTATTCGCAATTACAATTTTATACATGCGGACAGAATCGGTAGAGGGGGAGGTGTCGGCTTCTTTCTAAAAGAACACATAAAATTCAAGTTGCTCCGTACAGATATTGATCCCCTTTTGGAAGAGCAATGGATCAGTTTCAGATTCGATAGCAAAACGTATACCTTCGGTGCATTGTATCGACCTCCTTGTTCCAATATTCTGCAAACATTTGACAGTATAGAAAACACCTTATCTATACTATTACCATCTGCGGATGTTATTGTAATTCTAGGTGATCTCAATATAAATTTATTGATTAATTCATCGGCTACGGATATTATGCTAAATTTTTTAGAGTCTTTCAATTTGAAGCAGGTAGTAGATGCCCCCACGAGAGTTACAAGCCACTCACAAACATTGATAGATGTTATTATCTGCTCAGATGGAGAAAATGTAAGAAACTGCAATGTTGTACCAGTTCATGAGTTATCTGATCATTCAGCTGTTGTTTGTCACCTCCATAAAACGTTAAGCAACCGGACGCAGAAGTTTTACACGTTTAGGGACGTTTGTAACTTTAATGAACGTACCTTTTATGATTTATTTCATTCGACTCATTGGGATGATATTTTTCAATTAAACAGCGTTAATGACATGGTAAATTTTTTAAATAGCAACATACTAAATTTATTTGATAATTGTGCACCTATGAGAACACTTAGAGTTACTAAGCCACCAGCTCCTTGGCTAACATACAATATTAAAATGATCAATAAAGCTAGAGATAAAGCGTATCTAAGGTTTAAAAGAAGTAAGTCAACTGCCCACTGGAACTATTATAAAGAACTCCGTAATTATGCTGCTGCTGCTCTGCGGAGAGAGAAAAAGGCTTATATGGAATATATCCTATCTGGGAGGAACAGTAAAGCAATATGGAGTTCTCTTAGGAAACTTAATATAATTAAGTCCTCTATAAATACTCTTCCAGATAGCTTCAATGACGCAGATGAAATAAATTCACATTTCTCAAATATTCCGATCATAACCAAGACACAAAAGCAATTAGAACTACTGAACAAATATCAAAACAATAAGTTTCCCAAGTCATTCTGTTTCCAAAAGGTTGCCAAAGAATCTGTTGCGAAGAGTTTCTCATTTATTAAAACTAATGCTGTAGGGGCTGATGGAATCTCACTCATTATGATAAAATACATTTTCACTTTGCTCTTAGACCATATTACATTTATAATCAATCACGCAATATCAACATCCTGTTTCCCTGATGCTTGGAAGCAGGCTATCATCATACCTATTCCTAAAGTAGCGATTCCCACATCTGTAACGCAACTTAGACCAGTCAGCTTACTTCCCGCATTTTCGAAGCTTTGGAACGGGAAATGAAGATACAAATATCTCAGTATATTTTCAGTAATGAAATAGTTCCATCAATGCAGTCTGGATTCAGGGAAAACCATAGTACAACAACTGCTCTAGCCAATGTCACTGATGATGTTATAAGAGGCCAGAGACCAAGGAAATATCACTTGTTTAGTTCTGCTGGATTACACAAAAGCTTTCGATATGATAGACCCTGAAATTCTGCTACTTAAGCTGCCTTACTATGGTTTTACTGATGCTGCAGTCAATTTGATAAGCTGCTATTTGTCAAATAGAAATCAAAAGGTCCTAACGGCTTCGAAAATGTCACAGTCAATTGCTATAAGTTTTGGTGTTCCTCAAGGTTCCATACTGGGACCTTTACTTTTCTCTCTATATATATCGGATTTCAATCAATATGTCCATAATTGCACAATCCATCACTATGCTGATGATACTCAAATTTATTTTAGTTTCCAACACAAAGATTTTAAAATTGCAGAAGCATTGCTCAACGAAGACTTAACAAGGCTAGTAGACATCTCGTGCTCGCATAACCCAAAATTAATCCATCTAAATCTTCAGTTATGGTTTTCGGCTCAAAAAACAAAAGAACATTGATCGAAAAGGAAATTAACCTTAAAATCTATGATTGTCGGCTTCCTATAATGAATGAGTGTAAAAACCTGGGACTCTGGATTGACACAGAACTAAAATACAAAAAACACGTAAATTCGTTATGTAGTGCATCATACTGCATTTTGAAACAGTTTTATCCACATAGGCAAATAATATCTACTTCAGTAAAGCTGAAACTGTGTGAAGCATTAATTATATCAAAGATCAGTTATTGTGACAGTATATATGGCGCAGCTCTATCATATAGTGAACAAAACAAATTACAGCGTATTCAGAATTCGTGCATCAGATTTTCTTGCGGAATACGAAAGTTTGATCATATTTCTCATAAATTTAAGGAACTTGGTATTCTGCAGATTAAAGGCATGCAAAAGCTTCACTTATTGAAACTCACACATAAGGTCTTAGCAACAAAACAACCACAATATTTGCATAATAAGTTATCACGATATAGTGACATAAATCAACTGAATACAAGGAATAGTGATACCCTTACATTCTAAGGCTGTCTACAAAACATCATTCAGCTACAATGCTATTAAATTATATAATGATCTGCCTGTTACATTCCAAAACTATACGTTATTTAATTTTAAAAAGAGGCTTAAACTAAAACTACAAGTCGAGGTCTGATGATGAGTACAAAATGCTAGAAATATGGGCTATTCTTGTAATTGTTCTGTGTTGTTAATTATTTAGTAATTATTGAGAATTATGGATACATTTTTGTTGGTAGAATGTTTTATTATATATATATTTTTTTTTTTTGTTAAAATTAAGGTTAAGTTGAAAAACGCTAATCTTAGCGACACCTCGCCTTTTACTTAAGTACGAAATAAAGCCCATTTATTATTATTATTATTATTATCTATTAATAATGGTACTGGATGAAGTATACTGGTTCCGCTATTTAGGAAACCTAGTAAAAAAAGGGTCTGAGATCTAGGTTTCCTTCTCTCAACCTTCGGCGTACGGTATCAGGAGAAACAATGATACCATGAACATCATCCAATCTTCGAGTCAAAGCTGTAGCAGGAACTGTCCTTTCTTGAAAAGCTCGAAGTCTCAGAAACCGATGTTCAACGGCGTTTGTTGCTTTGCGTCTTCCCTGCCCAGGTCTTCTTGAGTAAGAACCAGTTTCTCTAAATCTTTGTATCGCATCGAATACCGTACTGCGATATACCGAATGGACGACCATCATCTTGTAAAGCTACAGCTTGCGCTACATGTTCCGGTGTCATTTTTGTTGAGTATTGCTTGACAAGAATCTTTTTGACATGCCATAAAAATCTAACAGACACAGCCCACTTGAAACAATTTCTTACCCGGCAAAGCGTGCTGGAAACAATTTGTTGTTTATGGCTATGATTCACATGATTTTCTTCAAAGCAGCATATATTCTTCAATAATTGAGATATTGGTATGAATCAAAAAAATAATTGTTGAGGAAAGTTGAGGCTTAAAATTCTCATACGAATCCAATGTTTCCGCAGGGCAAAATGCACCTTTTAGTTACACCCTGTATACTAAAACATTTTCAATTTTTTTTCCAATAATTGATGGAAAGGTTAAAAAGTTATTTAAAATTTAAATTGAACAAAATTTTGTTTGTCCGGTTAATTTTGCGTGACAGTGTAGTTACATGCTCATATTATCAACTTCTTATACAGTTTTTTACCGGGTGCTTCTAACCCTAGACGAATCCAAGCCAAAAATGTTCAGGTCATTTAATCAAATTTTAAATTTATGTGGTGAATGGACACAGTGTAAATCGAAAGAAATGGATCGTCTATCTTAAAATCAGTTCATTTTATTGAAATTAAACAAGCATACATTTGTTTCAGATAAAGTATTATGCTTTTCAATAATATTATTTTTAGGTCATGATTATAATAGAGTGTAAAATTGGTGCGTCAAGCGGTAAGCACACGTGCAGTGATTCGTTTCCCTTTGCACAGAAATGCTTAATGCTTACATTGATAGATTTTGGCTGATTGAGCTTAGTCATTCACTTATTAGAAACGAAAAGATTCATGTTAGTCCTTGATACATATTGCAACATTTATTTAGCGTTCCATAAGACAATGCAAAGGAAATTTGTCATTCAGGACGTGGTAAAAAAGAACAGCAGAACAAAGAAAGGTGAGTACGACATTGTTTGCATACAGCGCCAATAGTGAAATATTGGTCTGAATTATTTATGGCATTGACATTTCTTCCAGCACTATTGTTCACATTCTCCCGCCAAACTGTGCGTTCGTTTGTTTAAACGGTTGTGATTCACGGTAGATTAAAAAATGATAACTATTACATTATCAACCTGTGTTTCAAATCCTCAGTAATTCCTCGCCAATTTAAAGAAAGCATAGTGACACCAATATTTAAATCTGGAAGTAAAGAAAATATGTTCAATTATAGACCTATTTCAGTTATCAATGATATCAATAACAGACTTTGTTCTTTTCTTGAGAAATATGACATAATATCGAACTGTCAATTTGGGTTCCGCAAAAATTGCAATACAGAGCAATCTCTACAAGAACTTACAGGACAAGTGCTTGAAATTTTCAAGATGGAAGTAAGACTGTTGCAGTTTTCCTAGATCTTCAAAAGGCTTTCGATTCAGTATCTCATACAATTTTATTAAAGAAGCTAGAAAGTGTTGGAGTGCGTAGCGGAGTTCTGAACTTATTTGAGAACTATTTGGCTGATCGATTACAACAAGTTAAGGTAGGGTCAGATTTAAGCAACATTCAAAAGATCAAATAGGTGTGCCTCAGGGGACGGTTTTGGGACCAACACTGTTCCTCATATACATAAATGAGCTACTTCGATGTAATTTCAACTGTAAAATGATATCATATGCAGACGATACTGTTTTAGTTTGCACTAGTCATTCATGGGATGACGCAATACGGAATGCCGAGTTGTCATTAAATAAAGTCAAATGCTGGTTGGATAACAATTTACTTAAACTTAATATCTCTAAAACTAAGTATGTAACGTTTTCTCCAACCAAAGCAGGCATGCCATTACACCACCGAACATTAATTATAAATGATAGTGCTGACACTGTCGAAAGAGTTGAAGTTATTAGATACTTAGGAATCACTATTGACAGTAATTTAAAATGGCAGAGTCATGCCGAGCTTTTGGCATCGAAATTAAGGAGAATTATTCATAAGTTTTTCACTCTTAGGAATATTTTAAGCAGAAAGAGTCTTCTCTCAATATATAACTCGTTGTGGGTCTCTACTAACTTACGGATAAGTATTTGGGGAGCTGCATACACTAGTACTTTAAAAATACTACAAACCACGCAAAATTATATTGTCAGGACTATTTTTCGTATCCCATGTAGGTCAAGTTGCAGATTTGTTTACATTGAAAATGATCTTTTGAATGTTAGAGGTTTATATATTTTTGCTGCTCTAAAATTTGTTCACTCCCGAAACAATGTCCCAACCAGCCACGCTTATGAAACAAGAACTAAAATAAATATAAGTTACACCTATACCAGAGTGAATCAATCTGTTTGCCAAAAATGCATAAAGTTTGATGGTATTAGGTTGTATAATAAATTACGCCTAGAATATAAAATCCTCTCGAAATATAGTTTCAAAAAAAGAATTAAGAAGTTCATCTTAAATAACTTTGACATGCTTGCATCGACGGTAGCTTAACTCAACTCAGTAATTTCGTTTCTATCTAATGTTTTTTTTATTTCTTTTTTTTTTATATACTTACATTTGCTCATAAGATACCTTATAACCATTAGCCATGCATTGAATTTGTATATTGTATGGCACACACAAGCTTATAGCTTAGGTGTCTATTCTTTTGTAGTAAATGCTTTTGTAGTAAATTGTAGTACTCTTGTTTCTCTGCTTAACCTTTACGCAAAATTTTTATTGTTTAAACAACATATTTCTATATTATCATATTTCAGATATTCATATTTTATGTACTCTATATTTATACTTCTGAGTGTTTTTAGTATATTGTTATGAATTTTAGATTTGTTTATGCAGACACGTAATTAAGGATTTGTGACGACAAGATTCAGACATTTACCCTTTACGAAAGTATACAGAATTCTCACAATTCATATACCGTTACTTGCTGGTTCTAGATCTGATGCTAGTATCTTTGCTCAGATTTCTGTTGCAATCTTGGTTATTCAGGGTAGCAAGAGTATACAAGCTCATGTATTTTATTTTTGAAGCCTTTTTTATTTAAATTGTACTGAAGGTTGTTTTTTAATTTGTAAGTTATATTGGTTTTTGAATTTGAATAAACTTTGAACTTTGAAACTTTATTGTAAGAGATGATATGAAGAGATGGTAATAGAAATATAACGATAAGCGTAAACAAAAAAAACAACAAACCCATCTTAGAAGGTTTCGAAGTACTACCCTGTACCTTCCCACTTTTATTACGAGAGTAGTACATACACAACTTAACAAGGGCTTCAATGTCAGGATAATTTTAAAGCCACTTACTTGGTGACGTTAACGAGAGGGGAGTTGTTCTTCGTCGGCGAGAGATACGGTCGATAGAACTGCGTTGTCGGGGCCCCAAGCCTATTTTTGGGAAAAACCGTTTGAGTACCTTCCATATTCTACCGACTCATGACATGCACAACTCTACTGTCTATTCATTATGTTAATTAGCTGTCTCAATACTGATCACAAAACAATATAATAATGGCCATGATATTTCTCAATTATATTATTATAAATTACATTGCATGGGGGAACGGTAGCATCCTACCGCATGGAAGTCACACCCATGTCCATAACGAGGGGAACGGTAGATTCCTACCGCATGGAAGTCACGCCTGTTATGGAAATATACTAAGTGACATATAAATCCGAACACTCAATTTAAATGGTTTTATTTTAATAAAAGTTGGTGAATGTATTTATCTTACTGTAAATAACAAGTGAAAAAATTTTCAGCCTTATCAGTTGGACATTCCTGTTTTTATACTGCTTTTTTTTAATTCACTAACGCTCTAAAAATGAATATTTCAGCCGCAGTAAAGAATTAACGATGGCGGATTTTGGTTCTTGACATCCTTTACGATCGGTTACGATGTCTAGAGTACGGAGACCTGTACGATTTCGTCAACTTAGTGAGTTTGATAGGGGCCGTATAGTGGGACTTCGGGAAGCTGGACTTTCTTTTCGAGCAATTGCAATTAGAGTGCAAAGAAGTGTAGACACTGTGGTTAGGTGTTGTCAGGCATGGCTTCGAGAAGGCCGTACGCAAAGAGCAAGGGGCACTGGACGCCGCCGTAGAACAACAGACCGTGAAGATCGCCGCCTAAGATTATTGGCCTTAAGGGACCGTTTCTCCACTACCAGGTCCATTGCAAATGAATGGTTTGCAGAACACGGAAGACCTATTAGCATGCGAAGTGTTTACCGACGAATGAGAAGTTTTGGCTTGTTTTCATACCGGCCACACTGGGTCCTCCCTTTAACTCGAGACCACCGACGTAATCGCCTTGAGTGGTGCAGACAACGGTCATTCTGGGATCAGGAATGGAACAGTATTGTTTTTAGTGACGAGTCTCGATTTTGTTTAGGCATGCACGATGGTCGTGCCAGGGCTAGAAGGCGACGTGGTGAAAGGAGGAATCCACAGTTTTTTGTTGAAAGACATGTTCATCACACTGTTGGAGTTATGGTTTGGGGTGCTATAGCTTATGGTTCCAGGTCACCTTTAATCTTCATCAGAGGTGACATGAACGCGCAGCGTTATATCCACGAAGTTCTAGAACCCCATCTTTTACCCTATCTTGACACCCTGGCAGATCCATCTTTCCAACAAGATAATGCCCGACCACATGTGGCAAGAGTCACAATAGACTTCTTTCAACATAATGATGTCACATTGTTACCATGGCCACCAAGATTTCCCGACTTATCCCCAATTGAGCACGTGTGAGATATGATGGGTAGGAGATTGCTCAATTTGCAATGTCCTCCTCAGACTCTAGAAGCACTTCGAGAGGAGTTGGTGGTTGCCTGGAATGAGATACCACAGGAGGACATTGACCACCTCATCAGAAGCATGCCTAGGCGCGTTGGAGAATGCGTAGCACATCAGGGTGCATTCACACATTATTAAAGGTCAAAGAGCTTTAAAGCAGTGCAATCATTTTGAAATTTTTATCATTTACTTATTATGCTTCATTAAGTACTTATAAAAATTTTATTAAAATAAAACCATTTAAACTGGGTGTTCGGATTTATATGTCACTTAGTATATAATACCTCGCACGGGGGAACGGTAGCTTCCTACCACATTGAAGTCACGCCAGAAATGGATAATACCTTAATAATCTGGTGATTAGACAATCCCTATATACATCTTGCCATGAGGTACTTCCAGACTCCTGCGATTGCCTCGAGAAGAACCTAGGCGGTCACACAGACCCAGGATACAACGCCGGCCAATGGCCGTTGTGTCAATACCCAATACGCTCCGACATTTCCTCTGACAGAACAAACCGAGAAGTAATTCCCCCGATGGCAACCCGGCTCTGTAGGTCGCATAACAGCCTCCAGGATATGGAGGCGTCACACCTCTGTAGATGTTTGACGCTAAGTTACCTTTAACTTTATCTTGACTGTTTGATAAACATATCTCATCTGACTAGCTTTGACTTATTACAATTATTATCATGATTATAAGGGTACCATGGTTAGAAGGTACCCATGACATGCAGTACAGCAAAACAATAAAAGATACTCAGTGAAAACCTTCACCGTTTGATCGAACCTTGACCTGAACTTGATATGGACACTATTCACAAAATCATAACACACAGACACTTCCACCTTTCAAGTGTTAGAACAATATAAGAATGAACTAAGAGGGCCCGCTCTTTCTTAGCATTCCAAGTGTCAAGCGGTACTTTTACAGGGTGACTCACATGCAGAAAAGTGTCTAAAATATTGTGTATGCTTACACTATCTACTCATGTTATTAATACAGCTAACCTAGATACTATATATGTGAAGTATACACAACTGTTATGTCCTTAAAAAATCGGAAAAGTCCTGGGTTCGATGGTATTAAAAGCGAGCATTTGAAAATTATAGCCGAGGACTTACCTAATCAACAAATGCTTTGAATCTGGCATATGGCAATGTTTATCAAATTTCCACAAGAACTAACATAGGTTTAAAAAATCCGATCACAGACGCAATTAAGAAATTTAATAATTTACCTCATTGTATAAAAGATTCAAATAACTATAGAAGTTTTGTTAGAGAATTGAAAGATTGTAAAAATGTTAATGAATTTATTTGTTGAAATTATGAGCAACATTGCAGTGTACCTATAGTTCATAGATATTAATTATTGTCTTGTTATTCTCGAGGCCAGTGTTTGCAAACACTGATTAGGGAATTATTGTTATACTTTTTGTATTATTGTGTTTAAATAAATTATTTCAAAAAAAATATATCCCTCAATTTTAAAAAAAGGTAATATAATACCGATACATAAATCAGGAACAAAAACAGATGTTAACAACTATAGACCAATATCAATAATATCCAGTGTAGCAAAGGTTTTTGGAAAAGTTTTATCTACTAGAATGATTCGATACCTCACAAAATTCAAAATTTTAAGTGAAAATCAATATGGATTTACAGAAGGGAAGGCTACATCGGACGCAATAACTAAAATTGTAAATCAAATACATCAAAATATTGATAACAGAATCTCTTCAATCTGCATTTTTGTTGATTTAGAGAAAGCTTTCGACACAGTTAATCAAAAATTATTATTAGAAGCATTGGAGAGAATTGGTTTCAGAGGAAACGCGTACTCAGTGATCGAAAGTTATTTGTCAAATCGCCCACAATCTGTGCAGATATCAGGATCATTTAGTAAAGAAATGTATATTAAGTGTGGTGTCCCACAAGGAACTGTCTTAGGTCCTCTGTTATTCAATATATATTTAAATGATATTTTCCAAATTAATTGTGTTGGCAAAATAACTAGTTTTGCAGATGATACTGTAATATTATATGAAGGCACTGACTGGTCTGATCTGAAAAATGTAATTGAAAATGATTTTATCAAAATTATTTGGTGGTTTAAATTTCTCCTTCAATATTAATGATCAAAAAATGCTAATTAATAGAGTGCCCAACATAAAATACCTTGGAGTGGTCTTGGATCCTCATTTACGATGGGACATCCATGTCAATTATATTTTAAAGAAAGTTAGATTTGTATCCTACAAAATTAAATACCTTGGGAATATATTGACAGAAAAATATCTTCGAACATTATACCATGCACTGATTGAGCCTCATCTCACATATGGTATATTAGCATGGGGAGCTGCATGTTCCTCACATATCTATAATTTAGATGTTTTTCAAAAAAGTATTCTAAAAATGATATTTAAAAAACCGAAACTTTATCCCACTGAAAATTATACGCAGATGTTCGAATGTATGATATAAAACAGCTTTATTTCTTACACAGTATCACTCACTACCATAAATTTGTAAACACCGACCAAAAAATTAAACATAATCATTATACCAGGTACAAAATTCGTGGCACAGTAGTTTCTCAACCGCATAAATCTATAATGCAGCGATCATATCTCTATTTAGCGCCTAAATTTTATGAAATTATACCTAAAGACTTAAAAGATTTACGTTTCGGAAATTGTTTCAAAAGAAATTTAAAAAAGTGGCTACATTCTATACCTAGGACTGAAATTCATAAACTCATTAATACGAACATCAACTAAATACATAATCTACTGTAGCTAATTTTTGTCCTTTTTTGTCATTTGCATTCTACAGTTTCAACTTAAATTATTGGTCCATGTACAGGCGATGCCTTCTATTGAGCCTGTTTTGATTTTATATTTATTTACTCATATTGTTTGTTATCTTTGTACATTGAGTGAATAAATATTATTATTATTATTATTATATTCTCAAAAAACTGTATCAGCATATAGCGTATATTTGGCTACAACTCTGTCTATGAGCATCTAAGCTCTTCAAAGTAGATTTCTGGCTAGTACGGAGAGGCAAAAATTTAGTCTCGTCATCTAGCTTGATCTGCTTGTCATTTAACCTGATATTCATGTCATATAACTTCTTCTGTACATTGTGAAATCTTACGATAGCAGTCTTCTATGAGTTTAAGGATAATTGATTTTGGGCAAGCCATTTTTCAAGGTTCTCCAAAATGTCATGAAATTTAGTTACCAATACATTATCGTGAGGATCTAAAGTTATGATTAAGGCATCGTCTGCATATAATGAAAGATTGATCTGTTTATTAAAGCACATTTTTATTTCAGGCCTACCCCAACATGCAAACGTCAGCATCAACCCCCTGACAAGATATCCACACCCCTACGATAATGGCGCTACTGAACTATTCTTTGCCCTTTTTAGCAACGCCTCACCCCCCTGCAGCATCCTATTATATCCCGCCTCCCGTCCCTACGCAGGAGGGTCCCTATTCCTATCCGCCCCCGCAAAAGCCGTTTTTAAGGGAGGACCTTGGAGGAGGAGGAGGTGGGAGCGGTAAGTTCATGTTTTACATTAAGATTAATTCGTTTTCACTCTTATTTTACTGTAATCAAAATGTCGTCAAGTTGATTGAGTTAGTACTGCCTACATATTAGCGATAAGTGAAATATCAGAGAGAGAAGAGTATTTTGAATACGCTCCAAAATTAAGATAATGTTGAAAATATCAATACCAGCGGCTACCTAGTGCACAAGTTTACATTCTACAGATTTGTTTTTTATTTTGTCTATGGCAAAAACTAACGAACTGAAATCGATTTAATAATAATTAATGATTCGAAATTGAGTATTACATATTCCAAAAATAAGTGACCATTCCTGGATATGTATCGAGGTGGAAAATATGTTTCATGAGAGAGAATCAAGAGAAATCACAATTATTGACTTTGAAACGTCACTCTTACAAGCCAATATCACTGAAATGTTTAATGATGCTGACACTTACTTCTTAAAAATTCTGGATAGTATGGAGAACTGCATAAGAGACACACAAATTAGGAAATAGGTATATCAAAGGAAAAAGCCAACACTCTGGTTTTCACAAATATTTCTAGACTCTAAACTGACGCGTGATAATGACTATAAAAAGTTTATGATCAATCAAGCTGACGAAGATTGGATACAATATAAGAAATCAAGAAACAAGTGCTTAACAAATCTTAGGAATGAAAAGAAAAAATATTATGAAAACAAAATCGATAGCAATAAAAATAACAGTAAAATGATGTGGAAGACACTAAAAAATATTGTATCTCCAAGTAGGAAGAATGAATTATCAAGAAAGTGCTTCGAAGATGGTACAGTAACAAAAAATATTGATTGCAGAACGAATGAACGCTTATTTTATAGAAATTATAAATGAGATAGTGGAATCAATCGAAGATGGGGATCCAAATCTATGTCACATGCAAGTTACTCGTAATTCTTCTGTGAGAAAATTCCAAACAATAAATATCAGCTATCTTTCAAAAGCTATTACAAGATTGAAATCGAATAGAAATCCTAGTGAACATCTTTCAAAAATGGTTCTGAAGAATGGAGGCGAAATATGGATGAAAAAAAGTTTACAGTAACATTGTTCTTAGATTTTAAGAGAGCATTTGAGACTATTGACAGGGAGAAATTGTTAACGAAATTGCATTGCTATGGATTTCAAGGTTCAGTACTCAACTTATTGCAAATTATTTAATCAATAGAAATCAAAGAACTAAAATTGGCAATACATTATCAAACATTAAAAACATTTCGGTAGGTGTGCCACAGGGTAGCAAATTAGGTCCATTACTATTTATTTTATATATTAACGATATTCCTGATATTTTAAAACACTGCAAAATTCATATATTTGCTGATGATACATTAATATATATATATATACAGGGTGACTTTGAAGTTGAGTCATTAATTTTCAGATAATGATTGTAGAAGGAAGATAAACCAAAATATGTGTGTAAAAATAAAAAAAAATTAAAAAAAAAAATTTACCTCGTTTTATAAAGTATTCTCCCGACAAGTATTTCAGTGCGGACCTGTATTTGATCTGATCGTGAGGTCTTGGAGCACCCTCATGCCGTCCATATGTGAGGTCTTAAGTCAAATGATTCACGAACCAGTTGTACTACATTAACAAAGGCACGAGGGATTGGTTGCACTCGATTGGGAAACCGATCCGCATAAACATGTGCCATTTTTTATTTCGTTTGAGCCACGCAACAGACATCACTATCCACTACCGACTGACACTGACTGTATACAACTGAAATACTGAATGAAATAATTGTAAAAACATCGTTCCAAATTCTTTCGCTTTTTTGTTTCCGATGCGATGAACCGATAAGGCGAATTATATCCGTTGTCGCCAAACACGAGCACATAATATTATTATTGAGACAGGGCGGTACTCAAACTTCCAAAGGGCTATAACTTTGTTACTTTAATTTTACCAGAAAAATGGTAAAGGAAAAAACATTTCTTTTGATCAGATCTACTCACTGTTAAAATAAATGACTCAACTTCGAAGTCACCCTGTATATATATATATATATATATATATATATCAAATAAAGATATTGAAACTGCAATAGAGCTGTTAAATAATGATATGAAAAATGTAGTAAATTGGTTAAATGTAAGTAAACACAAACAAAATATATGCTAATAAGAGAATCTTTAGATCAAAGTACGATAAATCTTACAACTAATCATGAAAAAATTGTGTCACTCGAATCATTAAAATATTTGGGCATATACGTAGACAGTAAATTAAAATTTGATGGGCACTATGAATATATTATTTCAAAAATATCCAAGAAAATATATTACTTTTATAGAATTTCGCATAGCCCAAACGTTTATTCTAAAAAAATTGTGTACAACACTATCATTCTTCCTCATTTGTTATATTGTTCGACTAAGGCCATTGATAGAGTTGATCACGCACTGATGTGTGCTAAGCTAAAATCTTATGGTTTTAATAAAATAGGACTGCAGTTGTTCAAATCATACCTAACCCACCGTTCTCAGCGCGTCTCACTTTCTGGAGTTTTGTCAAATGAGCACTTTATTACTTCTGGTTTGCCTCAGGGCTCAATTTTAGGACCCTTGTTATTTTTAATTTATGTAGCCGATATTGCTAAGTCCATTCAAAATTCACAGCTACAGTCTTATGCGGATGACACTCAACTGCTTTACTTCTTTTATCCTGAGAACCTCCAGACTGCTACTATGGAAATTAACGAGAACATTGGCTCTATTTGCACCTACTCAGCCAATAACTGCCTAACCGTTAATGCTTCTAAATCTTCTGCTGTGCTGTTTTGTCCAAATCACAGAAGAGCCGAAGTCAAAGCTTCCTTGAGTATATCTATTAACAATCAAAATCTTCCTTTTTCTGAAAGTGTCAAGTGTCTAGGTGTGTTAATTGATGAAAATGTGCGGCTTCGTGAACATTTATTAAATAACCTCTTACAAAGAAGTTACATCCGTCTGAGAACTCTGTATGCGAACAAAAATTTGCTGAATTTTAAAGTGCGAAAAAAGTTGTGTGAATCTTTTGTGTTATCTTTTTTTAATTATTGCAATCTAGTTTATTATCCTTGTTTGGATGTTGCAAGTCGTCACAGAATATCTGTAGTACAAAATAACTGCGTACGATTTATATTTAGTTTAAGAAAATTTGATCATGTTTCGGATCGTTATCCTTTAATAGGTTGGTTAAAGATGACAGATTTAGTTAAATACAACTATCTAACCTTTATACATAGTTACTTGTCTCTGGAACTCCAATTAGTTACGTGAAAAACTAATTTTTAGGTATAATGTTCATCAACGACGTATCCGCAACACATTCGCTTTAACAATGCCACTTCATAGTTCATCTGTTTTTAACAGGTCCTTCTCCTATAATGCATGCATGTTGTACAATAGGTTAGATTAGAGAACAAAAAGCCTGCCGCTGTATTGTTTTAAAAAACACTTAAAAGCTCTTCTGCTCAATGGTGCTTCTTAAAGGTGTTTTTCTACAGCATTATATTTTTTAGCTGATTTTTGTTTAGGTTGTGATCAGTTACATGGGCATTTTCCTCCTTTTATTTTCTTTACAGCTGTACTTTTTTACCATCTATTATTCTTATGCAGTAAATGGTAAATTATAGATAATAATGTATGCATTATCTGTAATTTGTTTTTTCTAATAAAAGACGGTTTATTATTATTATTATTGATATTTTGTTTACTGCAAATGACACTGTATTTTCAAAATTACAAATATTACAAAATAAAGCTATGATAATCACCTTAAATAAAAATAAATATACTAGAACAAATTTTATGCTGAAAGAACTACAATCGTTAAATATCAAAAATTTCATAGCTTACTTGGTTTTCATTTGCATATTCAAGTTGAAAAATCATCTTCTACCAAATCACTTAGAAAATTTTATTGTATTGAACAATGAGTGCCACAATTATTCTACTAGAGGAAGTATAGACTTTCATTTACAAAACTGCAGTTGCAATTTAACGAGTATTTCAAAAAGGATTGTACGAATTTAATAAATTACGTAATGATATCAACATGTGTGTCAGTTTGAAAATGTTCAAATGGAAAATGAAAAAATATCTCATGGAAAACCAGAATTCATAGTAGTGATATTTTGTATAAAATATGTAGTCTTAAAGACATAATATATTTTGTGATATTCTGTGTAATATGGATGTTATGGACATTGTACCATTAATGCTAAATAAATCTGAAACAAAAAAAAATAACCCTGCGAGAAACGAAGTTTGGTGGCGTTGTGAGATTTTTCGTTATTTATTACTGGACTGATTTTTAAAAACTGCCAAGCTCTTTTGTCCTTGGCATCATAAATTGGCGACAAGTAGATTGACTCAGTACCTCCCACTCATTTATGATAAATGAGATGTAAGGAATGCCAATTACAAAACTTTTGAAGTCGACAAAATATTTTGGGTACGCCTTGAAGTGATCAGATAGTTGGAGCTTGTCTGAATAGTAGTATTTTGAAAATATGGAAATCGTCAGAAAAATTTGGCTAGACCAAAAAGTTATCAGAAACACGAAAAACGAAATCCTCCGTGTTTGTTTGGTAAATGATACCGCATATAATTGAAATATTATTTACTTGATACTTCGATGCAACGGTAACAAATTTAATTTTAGGATCGGTCTTGAAAAAAAGCCATGAATTATTAGCATGAAAGCCATAGGATAGGTTTCAAGTGTCACATTATCGAAAAATAAATGTTAGAGAAGTTCTGAATCTTAGTTATTCGCTTTTGGATCGAATTCCAAAATATAATTTTTGTCTTTGGCATGCTGGTCATCTTGTTTCATGGTTTCACCAAAATCGAGCAGCAAAGTGTGATATAATAGACAAAATAATGCTTTAACGCTAATGATTGTAGTACCTACTTCTCTAGTACTGAATCTGTCTTGTTGATAAGAAAATCCGAAGTGCAGATATTCTATTTTTGGATTATATACGATAGGAAAAGCTATGCTTCATTCTGTTCCTGTAGCTTTACTGTTACTGGATCAAGTTTCGACACCCAGAAACTTTTTAGTCTTTGATATGGTGGTATTCTTGTGTCAAAGTTTCATAAAATTGCGAGCGGTACTTTGCGAGTTTTAGTTTTTCGTGATATTCGTCATATAAACACATACCTACACATGTTACGTAAATATCGAGATTTTCTGCTACAACGTTTCCTCGCCGTCCAAACTAAGTCAAAAGCTTCAAAAGCGCCCGTACTGCGCTTTTCGATGCTTGTCCATTTTTCGTTGATTTTTGGGTGTTGTCAAAAAATTATTTGAGAGAATTGTTATTGAAATTTACTTGACTCCATTTTTTAAGATCCAAAAGGGGTAAATTTTGTTTAATAAGTAAATACCATTTTTTCCTCTTGAGGCGAGAGGAGAATTATTGTAATCTCGAATATTTTTTTGTGAAAAACCGTATTACTCTTTTTCGTCTGTGTGTCATATACCCAGGAACTCTAGATCTATCTGCAACTCCGAAAATTTTTTCAATAAAGAAGATGCTTTGTAGATTTTTAAAAATGCCTCCCTTGCGAAGTTATAGCGAAAATCCAAAAATTTCAGAACGTTCTTAAATATTGATTTTTCGATGTTTTTTTTTAGTTTCTGATAATTTTCAGGCCTAGTCAGGAAAGAATTTTTGAGGCAGTAAAAATTTTTGAAAAATTCCGAACAAACATTTTAGAGGGCTAACGGATCTATAAATCAAGAATGTCTCATATACAGATATCACATATTTCGATTATAATTTTTATACCTAAAATGTAATATGTAGATCAGTAAAATGTTAAATAGATTGAGTCAATGCATGATATACTGCTAATTGAACGTCAATATTTGAGGAGGCGGTTTTTGGGTTCATTTTAAGAAAACAAATTCGTATGAACGTAAGCGTCTTATCTTTTGACATACATTGTGATAAAGTTTTCAAAAATTAAATATTTATTATTAATATCTTAAATACTATTTTAGATATTTTGATAAAACGTCGCATAACACGCAGGTCAGAGGTATTTTTAAATATACTATATTTTTTAAATTTCACCAGTGGCGATCGCATGGATTTCACCAACCCGTTTTGGCAGACATTGATAGTGCGCCACTGGTTTCTCTTGAAGCAAAACATATTCTTGACCTTCTCAGTCATTTCTAAGCAAATTTGCGGTTTTCGCTGAAAAAAATTAAAACAGTTTCTCTGCATGCCCAGAACAACGCCGCTGATATGAAAATATCACCAGGCAGAGAAATTATTTTTTAGATGAAAAAACCGGGCGCCACACTTCAGATAAAGTTTGCTCATAAATCAATACAGATTGCATTTTTTTATTTTAAGAAAAGTCATTGGCGTGTTACTGACTTTCTATATTGAAAACTTTGCCACCCTGTATCTCAAAATTAAAGATGTTCATATGAAGTTATCATCTTAATCACCGCTTTAAATACTGCCGTTCAATTAGTATACCAAGACAGTCGACTTGATACGATGTTTTTTGTTACAGGAGGCCATAATGGAGGCGCCCCGATACCTCCCCCTCCCTATCCCCCTTACGGAGCTCCCCCACCCCCTAAGGGCCCCACTAAATCCCATTCGCACGCCAACGTCGACTACGGCGACTACGATGACGAAGACAGTGGCGTGCCGGTGACCCCTATTCAGGGTCCGATATTTATAAAGAACGGTTCAGTGCCTGTGGTGCCGTTGTATTCGTATCCTGTGCTTAGTAATGGTACTTTTGTACATATACCGGTAAGTTATTATATTATTTTTTATCATTTATTGCTTAACAGATTGTGTGCAACATAACCTTACATTCGACTATACCACCGTTGGCCGCTGTATGAGGGACGTGATATCTTGGTCAGCGCACAACAACTATTATATTTTTATCAACATTGCTTAACCTGAGTGGGCATTTACATTATTGCCCAGCCTTGCAGCGATAAGAGCGTATGACTAATTTTTAAATTATCAAATTTTCGTAAATAGCTTATCAGGGGAAATAGTTGACACTATGTATAAAATCAAATATCAGCAGTAGCTCTTTTTTTTAGTGCGGGCCAGACGGCCTTCTGGGACCCTTCTTATTATAAAATCTACTATGCATCGAAAAATCTGTATGTCTTTACTCGACTACTGGACATCGAGTCGTGGCATAAATGATCCTAATAGTCTCATGACAGCAAGTAAAATCCGTTCACCTTCATAATGCAGTATTTATTCGTTGCGTACCATTTAATTCTAGCGTTCTATCATAGCTTAACCTTTCATATGAGATAAATGTACAAACTCTATCATTGCAGTCGTTTGCAACAAATGCATGGGCGTACATCAAACTGTTTCTATTTTAATATTATTATTGCGATAACGGAACGGTAACCTATATAACTATATAACAATGGCACTTGATAACCAAAAAGCAGTAGCTCTCATACTTTTTGACTTTACTAAAGCATTTGACACCATTAATCACTCACTTCTTGTGTCTAAATGCAGTTATTATGGATATTCTGAAAAATCTCTTTCGTTTATTCAAACCTACCTTGAAAATCGGTATCAAAAAGTTCGTCTAAATCAACAGTACTCTACCGAACAAAAAATTTGTTCTGGGGTACCACAGGGATCACTCTAAGGACTCCTATTATTTTCATTATATATCTCAGATTTAGAAACAGAGGTAAAATCATGCAGCATACAATTTTTTGCAGACGATACTCTAATTTTCTATTCATTTAGGAGTAATGACTTGGAAACAGCAAATAATAGAATTAATTAAGATCTTGTCCCAATTGAAAAGTTCGGTAGTAGTCATAATCTTCGTTTGAACCCATTGAAGACAAATATGTTGATATACGCAAATATAAGAGAAAGAATACTTTAAAAAAGAACATAGACATACATTTAAAAGGTAATAAATTAGTTTCTGTGGATCATTCGAAGGACCTAGGTATTATAATGGACGATGATTTAAAATTTGTTGTACACGTTAACTATATATTTTCTGAGTTCTGCGCTATTCTCAGAAATTTATTTGCAAATAAGGCTATATTACATAAATCTAAGAGAAAGCAATGGTGTGAAACTTTCTTGTTTTCAAAGATATCGTATTGCTGTAGTGGTTTACTCTCCCTATTTAGATATTATAACAAGAAATCGTATTGAAAGTATTATGAATACATGTTGCAGACTTGTAAATGGTCTCAGAAAGTATGATCATATATCGAATGCCATTAATGAACTCAAATGGATGGAAATTGATAAAATGTATAAGTACCAGCTCCTGAATCTGACTCATAAGGTTCTTTATTCAAAAACACCGTCATATTTAGTAAACAAATTCATACGTAGAGGGAATATGCATGGTATTAATATACTAAGTGACATATAAATCCGAACACCCAGTTTAAATGGTTTTATTTTAATAAAATTTTGTATAAGTACTTAATGAAGCATAATAAGTAAATGATAAAAATTTCAAAATGATTGCACCGCTTTAAAGCCCTTTGACCTTTAATAATGTGTGGATGCACCCTGATGTGCTACGCATTCTCCAACGCGCCTAGGCATGTTTCTGATCAGGTGGTCAATGTCCTCCTGTGGTATCTCATTCCAGGCAACCACCAACTCCTCTCGAAGTGCTTCTAGAGTCTGAGGAGGACATTGCAAATTGAGCAATCTCCTACCCATCATATCCCACACGTGCTCAATTGGGGATAAGTCGGGAGATCTTGGTGGCCATGGTAACAATGTGACATCATTATGTTGAAAGAAATCTGTGACTCTTGCAACATGTGGTCGGGCATTGTCTTGTTGGAAAGTTGGATCTGCCAGGGTATCAGGATAGGGTAAAAGATGGGGTTCTAGAACTTTGTGGATATAACGCTGCGCGTTCATTTTACCTCTGATGAAGATTAAAGGTGACCCGGAACCATAAGCTATAGCACCTCAAACCATAACTCCAACAGTGTGATGAACATGTCTTTCAACAAAAAACTGTGGATTCCTCCTTTCACCACGTCGCCTTCTAACCCTGGCACGACCATCGTGCATGCCTAAACAAAATCGAGACTCGTCACTAAAGACAATACTGTTCCATTCCTGATCCCAGAGTGACCGTTGTCTGCACCACTCAAGGCGATTACGTCGGTGCTCTCGAGTTAAAGGGAGGACCCAGTGTGGCCGGTATGAAAACAAGCCAAAACTTCTCATTCGTCGGTAAACACTTCGCATGCCAATAGGTCTTCCGTGTTCTGCAAACCATTCATTTGCAATGGACCTGGTAGTGGAGAAACGGTCCCTTAAGGCCAATAATCTTAGGCGGCGATCTTCACGGTCTGTTGTTCTACGGCGGCGTCCAGTGCCCCTTCCTCTTTGCGTACGGCCTTCTCGAAGCCATGCCTGACAACACCTAACCACAGTGTCTACACTTCTTTGCACTCTGCAATTGCCCGAAAAGAAAGTCCAGCTTCCCGAAGTCCCACTATACGGCCCCTATCAAACTCACTAAGTTGACGAAATCGTACAGGTCTCCGTACTCTAGGCATCGTAACCGATTGTCAAGGATGTCAAGAACAAAAATCCGCCAACGTTGATTCTTTACTGCGGCTGAAATATTCATTTTTAGAGCGTTAGTGAATTAAAAAAAGCAGTATAAAAACCGGAATGTCCAACTGATAAGGCTGAAAATTTGTTCACTTGTTATTTACAGTAAGATAAATACATTCACCAACTTTTATGAAAATAAAACCATTTAAACTGGGTGTTCGGATTTATATGTCACTTAGTATATTAGATATAGAGAGACTTTTCAATTCCACGAAACAGCATCTCTATTTCAGAATACATATATTTACAATGCGATCAAATCACATAATTCTTTAGACCGCAGTTTAAAAGAAACCAATCCATTACCCAAATTCAAGAAGAAAGTAAAAGAAGCTCTACTTGATCATCAGCGAAATCTGTTGTAACCCATAAGTGTCCTCATATTTTCCTTATGCCTTTACTTAGATTATACTTTATTCTGTCGTTATTGTATACAGGTATTCATGTTGTATGTGTGTATGTTCAACAAATTCTGTTCTTTTTACATCTCGTATTGTTAAGGGCGTTAGATTCTAGAATAGATATATTATCTAAATCTCGCCTCCTGTAAGAATATTACAAATAAAAGACTTTAATTATTATTATTATTTTTTAATAATATAGAAATATAATATATAAATCTATAGTATAAAATATATAATCTCTTACATGTCTAAGTGGAAAATATCGCATTTTTAAATAACTAAATATGCAAATTCCAGATATTAATCGAAAAGGATATACTATTGTCATTTACTTTCAGATTCTATTAGCAACAAAAGATAGTCTCTGGGAAATGTTACACGACTAAATTTGTCAGGCATATATTCATTAATATTATTTTTTTTTGTGGTCATTATTATTATTATTATTATTATTATTCCGACTTTCGGTCAAACCTTGAATTTGAAAGTTATAGATCTGAAAGCCTAATTCTAATTCGACAAATAAAACACTGCTTTATTTGTATCTCATATCTCTTAGACACTTATCATTAAAAGAACATTATCTACTAAATTTATAAACCTGCTTGTATTCTTGCTTTTGTTCCACATCAGCTGTGATTAAGCCTTGGAAGTCTTACATTATCTTGACTGTTCTTTCTGCCGTATCGTTAACTGCTCTCAGTGCTTGCACCTTATTCTTAGCGCGTTGAAAAGAATCATTATGAGGACACTGGACGAGAAAAATGTCAAAAATTCTTGTAGCAACGGCTCTCATGCAATTGTAATAGATTGCACAAGAAGAAAATTTTGCAATACTTTTGCCTCCTTCTTTTCACTCCACAGGCAATCAATCATGTAGATCAGATCGTTCTTTTAAAATCTCGATACGATCATTTGGCGTGAAGATATCTGACTTTGAATGAAAAAGATTCCTTTTGTCTTCGGCCACTGATGTCTGGGAAAGTCGACCGCATTTTTGGGACTTCTAATGAAGAGGCTAATGTTTTTAGGTTTTCTTGTTCTTCAATGTACCCCTAATAACCCTGCTTAACGGTAGATCTATCCATTGTACGGTTTATCTGGACCGATTGTTCAAAATTTGAAAGAAATCAAAGGAGCACCATTTTTTTATCAAAACATCCTTTAATCTGGTTGAAAATGAAAAATCATTTTTTTTCTTTTGTTGTCACTAGTGGATATCTGTAACACCTTGAATTTGAAAAAAAAATCAATTGAAAATATTCCGTTGTTTTTGTTTTTGAGTAGTGCAGTGTCCGTATATCAAATTCATACCCTCCAGATTACGCTTCACCAGGTCAAAAAATAAGTATGGGGGACACGTTTGAAAAGGAGTATACTAAGTGACATATAAATCCGAACACCCAGTTTAAATGGTTTTATTTTAATAAAATTTTGTATAAGTACTTAATGAAGCATAATAAGTAAATGATAACAATTTTAAAATGATTGCACTGCTTCAAAGCCCTTTGACCTTTAATAATGTGTGGATGCACCCTGATGTGCTACGCATTCTCCAACGCGCCTAGGCATGCTTCTTGAGGTGGTCAATGTCCTCCTGTGGTATCTCATTCCAGGCAACCACCAACTCCTCTCGAAGTGCTTCTAGAGTCTGAGGAGGACGTTGCAAATTGAGCAATCTCCTACCCATCATATCCCACACGTGCTCAATTGGGGATAAGTCGGGAGATCTTGGTGGCCA